AAAGCAGGTAGCAATATAAGCAGCAGCTGAATTAAAAAAAAAAAAAAAAAAGATAAATTATTTTCTAGCATGCACTGCAACACTGCAAGCTAGTCAGTCTTTGCTGCCGAGATGAACTTTTTGGGGACTGCCACACAACTGACCCCAATTGTCAGAAGGAGGAACTGTAGAGACGAGTGATGACTGAATCAGTAGCAGATCAGAACTACCAGGCCCAATTAGAACAGAAAGGAGCAATGATTTGGTACATAAACCACAATAACAATTATAAAGCCTCAAAAGACAGCACAACTTGACAGCTGAGGCCACTTCCTGGGGCTAGAACAAGCCATTGCAATATTAAAGCATACACTCCATTGTGTTACTGCAAGATTTCAGGACTTGCAAAGAGCACACTCTGGCAATAACTGATTTATTGTCATGCATTTGTCTATTTCTTGCCTTTAGAAAACAAAAAATTATAGTCTTTTAATTATAGTATTTTAATTTAATCAAGAACCCGAGATGAATTTAAAAAGTGAGATCAAAAGACAGCAGCACCTTGATCCAGTGAGACTTTTTTTTCAGCATGCTGACAGAGAGTAGCTGAGCAGCTTTCTACAGACTTGACTTGTAACTGTCTCTCACATAGCAAAAATGAGATTGTAGAGAAAAAGATGAATTCATTAACAGAACAAGAGGATTAAATTCTCCTTTATACAATCTGTAGCACCTGGATTATACACAATGTAAAACTGACCAACTGATATAATGTCCTAATTCAAAAAGAAAGAAAACATTGAAGAAGCAAATGTAATGCAAAATGGATTAAAAAATGGAAACAGAATTATACTTAAGTCACTGCTTTATTTTTGTGCAGGATGCAGCCCAAATTATAAAATATTGATGGACATATGGTTGAGACAGTTTAGCCTTCAACTATAACAACAAGCACAGGGAGGAATGTCCAGGCACAGGTTTTGTTATTCTTCTAAACCATGCACAGCAGCTGAATAGACTAAAACAAGGCTGCAAAGGTTAAGAATTTGCAAAGTGAGACAAGCTATCATCACAATCCAAGAAGAAAAATCCATACTTGTGAGGAAAACGGATTTCTTTTGATTTGAGTGTGTATTAAATTATTCTGAAAGCACTTGAAAACACAAGTTTGAAGGCTATACACCTGGTTCAAATTAGAAACATTTGGAAATGAGAATATGGCCAAAATTCTTCAAGCTGCAAAAAAAACCCTAGAAAAATTAAAACACAATTTAAAAAATTGAAAATTATTCCAAGCATTTGAAGGAACAGCTTTTTAGAAACAGGCTGCACTCCACAGTCCTTTAGAATCTAATTAACCTTAATTCATTTTACACTGTATCAGCTTCTCTCTAATGTATGACTAACCAGCAAAAGAAAATAAGAGCAGTCTCTCCTTCCAACCTGAAGCAGGCTATCCAATTCCAGGCCAGCATTACATGCTGCATCCTCAGAGCATGTGGTCAAGAGGAATATGGTGTGGGCAGAACCCCTTGCTACCCTTTTAAACCAGTAGAGAAGAACTGCAGTGAGGAACCATGCAATGAGATGTCTCATGCCAAACAGTATCTGTCCAACACAGGTGAAAAGGTGACTCAGGCTACTTGCTTGGGTCCATCGAGGAGGGTGACCCTGGCTCACTGCCCTGGGAAGGTCCAGAACTCAGGCCTGGTTCTTCCCTCCAGTTAAGCACACAAAGGAGGTAATGAGAAGCATGGGCATGGATACACATAACCCACATCTGCAGTGCTAAATAAAGCGGGGCCTGGGACACGCCACTGAAGTGAAAAGTAACAGCAAAGAAAAGGCCACTATTTCAGTAAAAGCAGAACTACAGCAACCACATACAAAATGCCAAGAAGATAACTGTGGTATCTACTCATATCACTTGCAAAGAGATACTACAAAGACCCTTTTCAGCACCAAATACCCATTTAAGCCAAACAAGAAAATTTCCAGTTCTTCAGCATTTACAACATCCTTGGTTAGACTGCCACAGCTATTTGGTACCCCAAATCCTAAAAATATTAAATGCCTAGAAGCATTTATTTTACATTCTATTATTAAAGCAAGAGTCTATTGAAATTCTATTCAGCAATATTGTCATTTTAATGCACTTAAACTTAGTTTAAAAAATAGATTAAGTAACTTTAAAAGAATAAATGTTTATTTCTGAAATCACAGAAGTCACTTCATCCAACTAGAGGAAGTCAACAAGTTGTTACTTGTTGTTTTCTAAAAACATTCCTCAACTGTCCTGTCCTTCCTTAATGTTTTCATTCTCCTCCCACTCCTTCAGTGGGCCATGCTTGGGACAACATCTCACAGAGCTGAAGTTTTATCTTATACCACAGACACACATGGCTCTGACTTCATACACCATGCTGTTAATTGCAAGAACTGACACACAAAAACTGACTCACTTCTGCCATGCCAGTTCTTCATCCTCCTACCACAGAACTGCAAAGTTGGGATTCTAAATAAATGGATATTAATCTACATATGTGCTTGTGTATTTCCCTAGCTTCAAAAAAGACAAAGCTTATCTGTTTAGCTCCCAATACATTTCATCAATTACCAATCACGGAAACAAATAAAAACCAGGTCCAAAGAAAAACTGCTCTTCAAACAGCTATTTTTTTAAAGAGATTAGAACAAAACAAAATTACTGACTTACAGTCTTGCTACAGAAGATACATATGCTGTTCTTCTTTGAGTAAATTCAGCAAATTCTTTTTTAAGACAGTTTGTTACAGCCTTGTCTGATAATTTTAAATAGATTCATGGAATGGTTTGGGTTGGAAGGGACCTTAAAGATCATCTAGTTCCCATACTGTGCCATGGGCACCTTCCATTTAGCCAGGCTGCTCTATCCCACCTGACCTCAAACACTTCCAGGCATAGGGCAACCAAAAGTTCTCTAGACAACCTGTTCCAGCACCTCACCATGCTCACAGTAAAGAATTTCTTCTCAATATCTAATATAAACCTACTCTATCAGTTTGAATCCATTCCCCCATGTTCTTTTAATAGTATTTTTCCATCTTTCTTGTAGGGTCCCTACCATCAAATTATGATCTTCATCACAGAACTTTTGTAATTGGAGCAAATCATCTTTTACCCTCAACTATGAGAAACTAAGCAGGCTGAAATCCTTAACTTTTTAAGACTCAGGCATGTTCAATTTTAACTGTTCTTTCCATTATTCTTCCCAATTTACACAGACATTTTTTCTGTGTTCTAGGTGCACTGCCACACAAGCAGTCCACGTTTAAAAGCAGGACATCTTGGCTCCCTGCTCTCAGCAAACACTCCTTTGACTTGACTTTTGCATGAAGAAGTTAAAACACCTGCAAAGTACATATGGTCTAGTGAACCAGAAGCAAGAGGTTTCAAAGACATGTAATAAAAACCTGCAGAATTTGTACTGAATGTACAGAATGTACAGAAGAAACGATGCACCAATTACCTCTGAAAGTGATGCATCAACCTTGGAAGGCACTTTCAGATCCAGCCATGGCTGATAGTTTTCCAGAAGCAAAGTAGGTCTGTAGGAGAGCATGGAGAAGTTTATGTAACAATGTGCACTTGACAGTTTCCTACTGTGGTGTGTAAAATGGTAGCAGTACCAAGCTTACGAGTGCCACATATGTAATTTACCTGTGCCTCTTGCATTTGACCTTGCCACATACAGCACAGCTGTGACCGTGGGGAAACAGCTCCGGCAATTCCAGCTGCTAAGAGATTTGGACAAGCTTACATTCTCCAAAATGATGACTCTATTAATATAGACACATCTGTGAATTTTCTTTCAGAGCTGTTACAGAGAACTAATAAAGACAAACTTATTCTTCCATCAGGAAAACAAGATAACAAAGCATAGAATGAAAACCAACCGAATCTTAAAAGAAAAATTGCTACTGCTGAAACGAAATGAGAGGACACAGGTATCTTTTCTCATCTCCACTCACCTCACCGTACATTAATCAGTCTAGTAACAGACCAGATGATTTCTCTGCCTTATTCATAGTCTTGAACTACCGCAACTACCTTTTTAGCCCTATGAAATTCTGCATTGAGCTGTTTTAAGTTAGAAAAGAGCAATTTGCTTTGGGAATATTTTTCTCTTTGAAGTGCAGTACTGCTTAGAGAATTTCAATTACAGTGAGTAAAACAGACTCAACACTGGCCTGCCAAAAGGAGGACAAATTTAGAAAAGAAAAATCCCCACTAAAGAAGCAAACAACAACATAGTTTCTCCACTGCAAAATGTACAATGAGGGAAGCAGGAAACAACATCCTTGGACACTCCAACAACCGGCCTTGCAGCCACATGTGGGATTTGATGGGATTATGCAGAAACACACAAAGAATTCAAAGTATTAACCATCATCTATTTGCCACAAAACACCTGTCAGAAGGAGTATATGAGCTGTACTGACGCACAGTATTTCTGAAAGCAGCTAGCATTAGACAAGAATTGTCTCCATATAGATTCTTATCATATTTTTAAAAAGCACAAGACTCTTCACATGCATATTTACCTTGGGTTTATATTTTATTGTGAACAGAATATTGGGCAGGAGGGAGTCCGGTCCCAAGGAACAGTAGAAGGTGACGACCCCAGCCACGAAGGACCAGAAGACCATCAGGACATGAAGATACCTTACAGACACACGGGAAGGAAAAGGCGCTGCGTGAGAGCGAGGGCGCAGCGCCGCCCGCGCCCGGCTGCCCGCCCGCCCGGTTACCGGTTGAGGAGGAGGGTGGCGGTGCCCAGCCCCAGCAGGAGGCAGCAGGAGAACGGGTACTGCCGGCAGGTCTCCCGCAGCCCCTCGGCGCCCCGCAGCCGCCGCAGCAGCCTCCGCCCGGCCGCCCTCACGCCCCCCATGGCGGCCGCTGCCCGCCGGCCGGGCCGGAGGCGGGGCCGCTTCCGCTGCCGGCGCCCGCTGATGGCGGCGCCGCCGCGCCAGGCCCGCCCGCGGCCGGGCGGGGACAGCGGCGGGGCGGAGCGGGGCCCCGCGGCCGGGCGGGGACAGCGGCGGGGCGGAGCGGGGCCCTGCGGCCCCGCGGCCGGGCGGGGACAGCGGCGGGGCGGAGCGGGGCCCTGCGGCCCCGCGGCCGGGCGGGGACAGCGGCGGGGCGGAGCGGTGCCCCGCGGCCGGGCGGGGACAGCGGCGGGGCGGAGCGGGGCCCCGCGGCCGGGCGGGGACAGCGGCGGGGCGGAGCGGGGCCCTGCGGCCCCGCGGCCGGGCGGGGACAGCGGCGGGGCGGAGCGGTGCCCCGCGGCCGGGCGGGGACAGCGGCGGGGCGGAGCGGTGCCCTGCGGCCCCGCAGCTGCGCCGGGTCACGTAGCGTGCGGGCACTGTAAATAGCAGGTCTCTGATGACAGCGAGCTTACCTCGTTATAAATACTTGGGTTCTGGACAACAAGGGGTTCCCAGCGCCAAGCGGCCAGAAAGTGCTACGTCTGATTAAATGCTCTATGTTTGGATGATGACTGAACTGAATCATTCAGCGACTGGAACACTAAAACCCTATAAACACCACTCAAAGCTTCATATATTGGCTGCAAAGAAAAGGAAAAGTAATAAGATCCCACCTTAACATCAGTGAGTATACAAGAGTAAGAAGACATTGAAAAGACAGGAATTCTAGAATGTAGTTTATTGCTAGCGAAAAGAATTTAAAGCCAACTTGACACGAATAACACCTTCAGTTGCACTGTAAGGCACAAGCTTTCGAGCCACTGGAGTGCTTTCAGCAGCTCTGCAGTTACTCAGCCTTACGAAATTCAAGGCTCTGTTAATAAGACACCGCTGGTTGCGGGTGTATCAGTTCAATGGACAAAATGAAACAACTTCTGGGAGTTTGTACCCATAAAGGAGCTTCTAGTGGCAAGTATGAAGGAGACCTTCTCAGGGAGAGATACCCGGTTTTACTTGTTTGGGAAGGTGCTGTTGCATTGTGTGTCCGTTTGCACGAGTCCCACGCAGGCACATTGGGCACGCTGAACAAGTGAGGGCACATGAAATACTGAAATATATCTGTTCCGATGAGCCACGTTTACAAATCTTCGCTGAGATCCCCCGCAACAATGCTGTTAAGCAAATACTGGTATTTGGAGGGTTAGTCAGCATCTAGAAACTGAAATCCAAAAACAGCTTTCAGAATCTTTGCTCAGATGCTTTGTCAGTTTATGCAACACTTCCCTTGACCTCTCGAGTAGGTGAAACACTGCAGCTCGACTTCAGTATGTTGACCTTTCTCAGAGTGCTTGGCAAAAGCCCAGGGTCAGCTTGAATTTCTCTAAGAGTCTCTGCACAGTATTATTTCGTGTCAGTCCACACTTTCTAGTTGAAAAAAACCAAGATGCATTCACACAGCAAATCTCCATACAGCCTATTCAGAGGAAATCAGTTTTTCTAAGATGCATTTTTTTTGTTATCAGCTTACTTTATCCTCAGCTTTACTGATGGTGATTTTTAGTCACTTATCCTGTAATGCTTTTAATAAGGAATAATTTTTTAAAATCTGTAATTCTTACAATATTTCATGAAGATGCCACAGCACAACATATCTGTAATACAGGAACTGACTTTCACAGCAAACCAGCAGAAGATTAAGTCAAACTTCTGCTTGTGTTTACATTCTATCCTTCAGGTAAACCATCTTCAATTTATAGCTTCATTGTTCAGAATTGTGCTAATTTACTGTAAAGTTGCCACATTCGCATCTGGCTCTAATTGTACCTCATTATCTTAGAAACTGTGCAATTTCCTTCACAGACTTTACATCTGCTGCGCAGACACAACAAACTGCTTTACCCCATCCTGCTCTGCTGGAGACAGCAGTGTTGGCATTGCCCATCACCCTCTGTCACTACAGACAGGCCCCTAGATTGTTCTGGTACACTGAAAGACCAAGCAGATGTTTATTTGTTTTTCAACAAAATAAAACTACAGAAGAACAAAAGGGAACTGCTGACCACAAGCTTTTCAAAATTCTTTGAGAAATAAGAACTTTAACCATTCCCTGGAAATAGCAAGATTTGAATAGCAAGGCTCTGAAGTAATATGGCCAGGACTGGGTTACTCTGGAAAGATAGATTTTACTTTAGTATTTAAAACATAAAAGGATCTTTCACTGATTATACAAATCATCTTGTGGAGTCAATTCTCCCTGGTTTGGGGTTTAGGGTATGTTTTCTTTGATTGCAAGAGAAGCTTGCCTATTCTAGGATCTAAGAAGTATATTAGAACAGATTTTCAACAACTTAAAATATAAAAATACAATTCCTGACTAAGTAATATCAGTTATTAGGCTGAGATTGCATTTACCACAGTGCTTTTTTTTTTTTTAACCTTAAAAATGCCTTTTTTAAACAAGCCAGATAGTGAACTGTAATAAACAGATTCTCACCAGTTCATTGTATTTAATTTACTCTGCAAGTCTGCTTTTGCTCTTTTCAAGGCCTTACATAGTTCTCTTTTTCAAAGATACAGTTGTCAAGGCTAATTTACAATAGCTAATCCTTCATATTTGCTCAGCAAGGAATTAATTTTCCTTTATAATTATTCCTCACATGCCCCTGTTTGTTTTGTGGGCCCTTTCCAAAAAGTTTAAATAGAAGGCTTCATATTTACTTCTAACTACAGCCATTTAGCAGAAAACTCTAGAGAATACTTATTTCTAATATTCAGCATATAGCTAAGCTTAAGGAAAGACGTGAAACTGAAGCTGGTCAGTCAGATCCCAAGAAAGGCAAGCACTAGTAGGCTCTTTGTAGTTGACTTTTTCAAATTCAAAACTTAAAGGGCATCCACCAACAGTTACTGGTTTCCACCTGGGACAATCCAGGTGTATGCAACAAATGTAAGGTGAAAACTACCTTTTAGTACTTTCTGGCCTTTAAAGGAACACTGAAACTCCAGGGAAGTGATGGCTGACCATTTGCTGAACATTTCTGGTTTGGGTAGAATAATAATTAGCCCTTTGAAAAGCAAAATTAGCTTTACTGTAATAAACACGGTTATATTAATTTATCTAATAATGTGTTAATTATGGCATTTGGAAGTCATACCCAATACCCACACCGACCCATGCTTGCCAGCTCTATGGAAAATGTGTGCCACCTGTAGTTGTTGGGTCTTGTATTTGCTTCCTGGATCACATGCTGACCCTCACTATGACTAGATTAAAGCAAACTGCATGAGAAAGTGAGAACCTGGGCCCAGAAGAACCTGCTCAATACAGCAACAAAGACTTTGGGTTCCTGGATAAAATCCCTCACAAATTTTCTTCTACAGGAATGGGGAATTCAGCAGCTGCAATAAGAAGAAAAATGGCAGGTGGGAGGGAGAAATGGTTTAAGAAAAGATGTGTGAAACACTTCATAAAAGATCACTGGTCCCCACATTTGCAGGGAATGGCAGAGACAAGTTGTTTGTTTAGAAGCAGATTTAGAAAGCAATTGAAATTAAGGGGAAAGACCAAAGTTTCAATTTTACCCCCCCCTTCAAATTTATTTTTTTTTTAAGAGACTGTAAAATACAGTTCTGTTATAAAGCCTGAAAATACTTACTAGGCTGTATTTAGGACTAAAAATACCAGGCAGAATAAAGACTTGCAGGGCAAAAAAAGGAAGACAAGGAGACTGTTCCAATACAGAAATTCAAGGACCCATTTCAAGTGGAGTTTCCAGAGGGTCAGTTAAGTATTCCCAACAGGAACAATGCTTTGCAAACCAAGGGGTGCCGAGGAGCACAGAGTGTGTTAGAATTTCACTGGGACAAGGTCCAGTCAGGAAGAAGACAGAAAGCCAAAAAAACAGGCAATGTACTAGAATCAGTTTTGCCTTGAAGAACTTATAACTCTCAAGCAGAAAGTAAAAAGATTCAGACTGGTATATAGAGCTTTTCTTCAACTTGTTAACATGAGAAAGAATTTTATGAAGAAATTCTTTCACAGAGAAGACACCAGAGAGAATTTAGATATTGGAGATGAAAATAATTTGTTTGGTCATAAACTATTTATGGGACATTAAAAAAGAAAATAGATCAGTAAATTACAAGGTCTAGGCGTTGACTACAACACAGCAAGAAATAGAGGCCTGCAGGAATATGCACAAAAAAAAGAGAACTAAAAGTATAGAGGTGACGATGGAAAATTGTTAAAATAAATTAATATTATGATTTATGGCAACATTTGGCAAAGCTGTACTCCATAGAAATTTTATCTTCATTCACTTGAGCAAAAACCAAGGTTTTTGGATATGCACCTTAAGTATTAAGTGAGGTTGGTCAACTGGTTGTATGTGCAAAGGAAAGATCTGGAAAATCTAAATTCTTTGAAAAATGTAGGCTGATTAGGGAGGAATGAGGGAATGTCAAGATGGATATTAAGAATTTGTAAGAAATTGATTGTAAGTACTAAGGAGCTGTATTCATGCAAAGTGTTAAAACAATGCCAGAGCACCTATGTAAGAGGTCAGTCAAAATGAAAATTAATCTGTTGACTTACTGTGGGGATAAAGAAAATCTTGCCCTGGATACACAAATTGTGAAAATAACTATGTCAGGTCCTGAAGGGAATTCCTGCTTACCAGCCATGGTCAATGGGGAAAATTTTCAAGTAGGGAGTTCAAGGATGAACTTGAGCCAGAATCCTTTGTTTGCAGCTGAATTTAAGTGTCAAGATAATCCTGTTAATGTGTTTCTGTTAAACCAATACAAACTGTTGCAGCACCTACACCTCAGAACTATGGTGAGACCTGAAGAATTTAAAGCTAGTTAAGTTTTTCATCGTAGATACACACTGGACTCGTGGAACAGCTGTGTTGGATCAGCGAAAGTTCAGTTGAGTGAAAATCCTGTTGATGATAGCTATTGGGGATACATACCTAGGAAAAAGCTGTAAAAGCAT